TATATATATATATATGTATATGTATATATATGTATGTGTATATATATGTATATGTTGTTGTTATTCTGTCTGGTTCTATGTGCCCCTTTCTGACTTTTAGCACCCGCCCCTTGAAACATCTCTGCAAAGCCCTGTTATGGACTGTCGTTAAAAAAAACAGGAGAAGCTACAGCGTGGAACATGGCCCTGCTCTAGCTTTGCTTGTTTGTTTCAGATGTGTTACGTATATTTCTTAAAATGGCAAATATATATTATTCGATGTGTGAATAAAATATGTGTTTAAGATTTGTAAATCATTGCAATAATTTCTTAACTGAGGTTGTGAGATGCTAAAAGCAAAAGTACTAACATGTAAACTACAATGAAAGTACAATAAACAGTACTGTGCAAGTGAACATTTCAATAATTTTGACATTAATTCAAAGATCAGAAATTGTTGTTGTTTTTTGTTGTTGTTGTTTTTGCCATTTTCCACCTTTTTCTTCTACTCTTTTACAATTTAGTTATGCTGCAGTATAATAATAATAATAATAATAATAATAATAATAATAATAATAATAATAATAATAATAATAAGGTTAATAAGGAAATATGCTGTTCGGTGATTTGCTTGCGTTAACGGTAAACATTAAGGCGTGTCCTCAGATAATGTATCTATTTTATTTTATGCATGCTATTTTGTTTTTGTCTTACAAATAAAGGACGGCATTTTGAGTTTAAAAGTGAATATTTAGTGAGTAGGTTAAAAAGATAAAGTTTTTTCACACTTAAACATTGCATAAAGATTTATGTATGATCAGCAGCCTGTATTTGGTTTGGTGCTTTCTCTTCAGTCTCATAAGTGGGTCAGGATTCGTACATTGGCCAATCAGAATATAGGGGCGCAGGGGGGCGGAGCAACGTCGGGCACGTCCAGGAAGAAATTCTGGCGTAGCTATAAAACGATAGCAGTGTTTTGTGCGCAACATATTCTGCACAGTGTGTGGTCTAAACACTGAATTGTGAAGATGGCTGACGACAGAGATAAAGCTACTGACCAAATGAAGACATGGAAGGCGAATCGAGGTTCTCAGGTCTGTATATGCATTGGGTTATATCAAGTGATTTTACTCCGCGGTGGCTACCACAGTTGGAAATGGGTGAAAGGTCGTCCAGGGGTAACAGGCTAACTAAGAGCTAGCTTGTAGCTCATGTCCTGTAGTCTCTACATTAATGTTTTTAGTGTAGTTTTAGTCTTAAGTATTTATCATACAGTGGTATTTAGTCCTTTATACTTTTTCACAGCCGTGGAAGAGACTTTAACCATGAAGATAAGAAGTGGGTCCAGGGGCATTTGTTTGAACTTTAACCCTCCTATCTATATATAACTAGGGCATATTAGAGCAAATTGCCGTTGTAAAGTAACGTTCATGTCGCAGAATGGTTTTTATTCGTGCTGTTTTGAGCATGTTTGAGAGTTATGTAAAGACAAAAAGCATGCCGTCATAGCAGCTTCAAGTTTCAGCGTTATTGTTATGATAGTACACCTGCGAAACTGCACCATTGTATACACGTGTCACTTTTTTATGCTTAACGCAGTCTGCCTTTTTTAACTGCTTGTGCAACATTGTCAATATCTTTCTTAGTTTCATAGATACTTGCTTTCAAAAGTGCCAGTTTTAAGGGCATTCATTTAGACAGTGAGTTATTATAAAAGTTTAATGCTCATGCAGGAGGAATGTCAAACACTGAAGATGATTTCATTGATTAATATATTAAGCAACTTAGTATTTTGCACTGATTTTTTTCTTCATTGTAATCATAAGGTTAAAATTGCATTAAAGAAAGACCAGCTGTATTGCATTAGTCTTTGTTATAGTCTTACATCAAGATATATTTAATGCTTTCTGTTTTTGTGGGGGTTTTTTTGTTGTCGTCGTTGTTGTTTTTTGTTTTTGTTTTAATTATTATCCGTCTGTTATCAGAAACCAGATGTGCTGACCACAGGCGGTGGCCATCCAGTGGGAGACAAATTGAACTTGCAGACTGCAGGACCAAGAGGACCGCTGCTGGTTCAAGATGTAGTCTTCACAGATGAGATGGCCCACTTTGACCGTGAACGAATCCCAGAGAGAGTGGTCCATGCCAAAGGGGCAGGTAAGGCATTGTGCTGTAGTCATGATGCTCTTTTTATCTGATTTGCTGTCCCTTTGTTATAGCAGTGCAAAAGTGCACACAAACTACTGCTGATCGTGTGTAAGAAAAGGTTAAAAAAAAATGTTATTTGTATTCGCTGACTAACAGGCTAACAAAAAAGCTTTGAGTTCTTAAAGGAATATTTGTAATTAAGTAAAGAAAGTCAAATGTAAAAATTGCTGCCATTCAGGTCAATAGGATGGCTAGACATTTTATGCCAACACTTAGGGCTAAGCAGTCTGGCCAGAAATGGTGTCCCACTATATTTATTTCATTTTGAGCCCCTCAATGGTTCTCACACACAGTTTTGGTAAGTAACACTCTTTTAAGTCTTCCTGCTGGCAGTAAAAAAATTAAAGGCTTCAATTAATTTATTCATTATCTATGGTCAACATCATTCAAAATGTTTGTAATTTCTGACATCATTGTTTTTGTAGCAGTTATGACTGCTGCCATGCGTTTTGTTACACAATATTATTAGTCTTGTGCAGTCCTACATCAGGTGTAACAGTCCACAAATACAATGTTAAAATGACTCACCGAGGGATTAGCTCTATATTTATAAAGTCTTCAGACATGAATCATTTCTTAGTTCTAATGCCTGAAGTAGTAGGTAAATCATAGCTTGAGATCTAGACATCGACAATGCATTATTCAAAATGATAAAGTTTAATGGATAGGACAACTTTTCAATATGTTGGTGACAACACTTTGTACACTGTGCAGTGTATTCTCAACACTGGCCATTTAACATGCACTAGAATGCCACAGATACAGAGTTACTAAGGTACATATTCAGCACCTGGCACCAAAGACGCCCAGTGTTTAAAAGGTCTTAACAGCAGGCATGTGGTGCACTTATGTCTGAGATAAAGCAGTGGCCTGATCCTTAACATTGGAAAGTGTTCAAATTTATGTGCAAATTTAGTCAAGAATTGTATTCTGGTGCAGGCAGATGGCTACAAATGACTGCATTAAAGTACAAAGTTAAACAAGATAACCAAAAAACAAGTACAAAAGGAAATGTGGATCCTGCTTATTTGTGGATTAACTCCAAACAATTGTTAATCTTTACAGGCTTTACAGATCAGGGTTTCAGACTTTGGACAGACATTGAACAAGTTATTTGTTGGCCTGCTTTCAAGAGTCTTAGATTTGTTCCCATGATAAATGCCGTAAAAACTAGAACTCAAAATTTGTGAAGCTTGACATGTCTTTTAAAATTTGTATTTATTTTCATTTTTTCTCCATTATTCAGGGGCGTTTGGCTACTTTGAGGTCACTCATGACATCACTCGCTACTGCAAAGCCAAAGTGTTTGAGCATGTCGGCAAGACTACACCAATTGCTGTCCGCTTCTCCACTGTGGGTAAGAACGACCATAAAGGATTTCATGGGTTCGCCTTGTTAATGGTTACAGATTTGCTTATTGGGGGGGCTGTCGTTGTTGTTGTTGTTGTTGTGTTTTTTTTGGGGTTTTTTTGTTTTGTTTTGTGTTTTGTGTTTTTTTTCTTCTTCCTTGTTTACACAGTTTTGGTGTGATTGTTTGGACTATAGATCCCGTGCATGAGAAAATGCTAACTTCCTGGTTTGAGACTGGGTGTAGGGTTGTACATTTCCGGTAGCTTTACTTTGCGGTCAATCGCTACTGCGAAGATATACTCCAAAATCACGTCCAAAACTCGAAAACGGAAAGATCGCGTTAAGTTACAAAGAGAAGAAGGTGGGAACACTCACCACTG